TTATTTTATATGGGTGTTTGTTATGGGGTTATTCTATTTATTTTACATTTTGAAAGGAAAAGAGTGATGCTGCTGTCCTATGTGTTGCAGGTTTTCTCATTTACTTTGGCTATGGAATTTGTCACAGCACAGAGAAGAAGAACAAAGATTCATCTCTAGAGAAACCAACTCATTTAATAAACAGCACAGATTCAAATGTCACTTTTAAAAAATGACTCTAAAGAAACCATGGTGTGAAATGGCTTATTTCATAACAATGCTTTCAATGTTATCCATTTACTTCTATTTCTCAATAGGTAACAGAAATGAAAGTCAGTTTAGTGTAGAAATGAAGGCATTAGGCTAGAAACCTGAAGTCGATGAATTCAAGTCCCACCTTAAGTACAAATCTCACATCTTTGTGACTTTAAGAAAGTCCTTCTCTCAACCCGAGGAAGGAGGCAAGAGCAAGCTATTCCCCCCCCCCCCCCCCAAAAAAAAAACCCTTGCCAACAAAGGGGCTAGTCCAGGCAGTTACCAAGAATCAAAAACTGACTTGGAAGAAAATTAATCATTCATATCCACTAGATCAGGGGTATTCAAACTTGACAGCTTTAAGACTTGTGGACTTCAACTTACAGAATTCCTCCTCCAGTCATGTTAGCTCAGGAATTCTGGCAGTTGAAGTCTACAAGTCTTAAATTTGTCAAGTTTGAAGACCCTTGCGCTAGATGAAGGCTGCAGCAGTGTGGCAAAGGACAAATTAACCCATAAACTAACCAAGTGTTCTTAAACTCTGGTGTTCCCACAACCTGCATATAGGGATTGGATAATATCAATCCAACAATTGTTAAAAGAAACAGCTATAGAAACAACAGAAACAAGGTAACAACTGAAAGAACAGAACTGTTTGTGCTAAACAAGGTACAGGGGAACCAAAGTTACAAGAATCTCAAATACAGTATATTTTATAAGCTACACTAGAGAAGGTGATTGTAGCGGTGTTGAAACCAATGACTCCATTCTTGCTGAGGCAGGTCTGGCAAGCCTGCAGGAATCTTTGCCTGAACCTACTAACAAACCTTTCAGATTCTGAGGTTTACCCACCCAGTCCCAAGCAGAGGCATGTTTTAAAGATACAGAATCAAAGGGCTGATCTTCACAAGTCAGACCAGCCAAGAAAGCAGGCAGACAGGAGAATAGACTCCAATGAGCAACATAGATGATCTGCGCTTCTGGGAGGTGGTTCAGCCTGGCTTCTTGATTGGCCTCCTTCCCTGAAAAAAAAACGTGGAAAAACTTTTCAAGTCTCAAGTTCTGCCATGCTTACCTTGGTACTTTGAATTTCATGTCATGTTTGCCGTGCTTACTGTGGTACTTTGAGTATCATGTTCCACAATATTGTGCCTCTTCTCTTTTTTGGGGGAGGAGGGATTTGTTATGTTTGTCAGACTTGACCTGTGCCATGCCTTTATTTTGTTACAGTTATCATCTCTAAGCTCTAGGCAAAAAGGACTCTTGGCTTCCAAAACCTCTTGAGTTTGCAGATCTCTGGACTTCGGCTTGCTTGCTGGTTGGATGACCGCAGTGCCAGTGCAGAAAACCTACACATTACCAAAATGGTGGAGGTCAAATCACAGTGCCATGAACATCATCCTGAACGTTCCCTACCCCTTACATATTTTTCTGTAACGTAAAAGAAACCATCACTTTGGTATCTTCATAGCTATGGTTAAGCACTTCTGAGTGCAGAGGCAGCTGATATTTGAATCTATAATGGCCAAAGTGTTGGAAAAAAGGAGACATATTTGTCTTTGGTTTCTACTTTTTCCAAAACTCCTCAGTTCCTAAATCACAAGCAACCCTTTAACAGCATCCTTTCAGACCAGAAACAATTGCAGTGTCCCTTGTGCTGTTTTTGGAGAGCCAAAAATTACTCCTGTTTTCACTTGGGGCTACTAGGACAGGAGATACAAGTAGGTAGTGAGGTGAGCTTGTCTTGCAGAACAATTTTTCCAAATCGTTGGTCTATGGGTGGTCTCTGGCATTACTCTCTTTGAAAAATGAACAAAAGGCTATCATGATCCATTAATAATGATGGGGCTGTTTTCTCAGAATGGCTAAAAAAGTAAAATAAAACAATGATAAGCAATGACTCGTCTTGCTGGCTGGTTAGCTGGTTAATTTCCTTTTCTTATAAGTACCAGCATTAAGAGTAAGAAAAGAATTACATTGTCAAGAATCCACACTTGTTTTACCTATAGTCTTATGTAAGCCTTCAGTTATATTTTTCAATTCATTATTCTGTCTTTCATAATAACAATAACAAGACAGCTTGTGCAAATTTAAAACACAAAGAAAAGCAATACTAGGGAAAATAATAGGTATAAGAGAGTTTGCTGGCTATTTATATATAGCTCATCCAAACAGAAAACTCGTTTCTGGAAACACTTTCTCAACTCCTTTTCATAATAGAAGATATTTGCTTTGTTTTCACATCTACTTTCTATGGTTTTGGAATTTGCATTAAGAAGAAGGTCTCTTTTAGGAAATGGGCAGAAATATTCTTTTGTTACTGAACAGAAGGTATTGTCATTACTAAATGGTTGCACCTCAAGGAAAGGACCATTACCAGTTGTAGATCGGACCAAGTCTAGCCCTCACTTTTAACTGCACCAATATGCAAATACCACCTTCCTCATATTTTTAATCATAAACATCACAGTATTTTTTCTGAAGTGCTTTAATGAAAAAAAGATGTGTTGACAGAAAAAAAATTCACACAGTAAGAAAAATAGGTATCTATAAAATAGCATTTTAAAATAATGTCAGTAAAAGTTGTGAATATTTTTGATATTGTATCATTTGTCTCCACCATTTCTAAGTAGCATATCTTACGGCATCTGTTAAGGCATTATAGGGAAAAGCCCAAAGAACTTTTTGAGAATATATATTTAAAAATGCAAATACTTGTTTAAATATTATTTTTTTCATTAAAAAAAACTGTATTCATTGGTTTTCTGTACAAAAAAAATAGGGAAAAACAGCAGTGGCTGATTTGTGCCTTTTTCTGAGTTAGTCCAGGAATAAGACTTCCATTTGTTCTTACTAAAACTTTAGTTCTTTAACTAGTAGTACTGTAAATGGAAGGATCTCTAGTTGAAATACAGAGCAGGCAGTAAAGTCAGATAATGTACTTGCTAATAAAGTGGTTTTCTAAATGCATAATTATATGAGTGAATAGCTACTGCTGGAAATAATGAAAACTATGAGAACTGAGCTAATAACTCTGGCAGTAGATGGCAGTAAGGAGATAAAGTATAATTTTTTTGTTGCCATCTGTGATTTATCTGGAATTAGTATTTCAGATCTAGTGATTCTAGCTAGCCAGTTGGGTCTAGTGATTACAGTATCAGGCTTTTTAAAAACCAAGAGACTGAGAGTTCTGGTCCCACCTTAGGCATGTAAGTCAGCTGGATGTTACTCTCTCTTATAACAACTTACCTCACAGAGTTGTAGGGAAAATATCAAGAGAAAGGAGTATTAGGTATGTTTGCTGCCTTGAGTTATTTATTTATTTATTAAATTTATATGTCATCTATCTCACTATCCAGAGTGATTCTTTATAAATTACTCATCAAAATAATAAAGATGAGATTAAATAAATACATATTTCCTGTAATCTGAACTATTACTAGAGTTTTTGTAAGCTTTGGAGCTATGATGATAATTTCAAATGTTACTCATGTCACAGTGATTCATACTTGCAATAATATAATTCCTAATTTTATGACAAGCAAAGTATCAAAACCAAATACCTCTCCTGTACCAGATTTTCAAGATCAGGGAAATAGTTTATGGTTGTAAATGGGATTGACAAAAGTGGTAGGTATCATTGGAGCCAAAGGTGTGTCTGTTGCACTGGGGTTGACTTCTCACCTGCTGTTTTTTCAATAAGCTATTCTTATCTTTCATTACCTTATTTCAGAACCCAGGTATATGACTTGGTCCTACAAGCTGCAATCCTATGTTCCATTGGGCTTCAATATTTATCTATAGGATAACATTTATCCATTGTCTGTTGGCATAATGTAGTGCCATGGTACATAAGCCTGCACATTCCTTTGTATAAATCTTTCATTCTGAAAAACAGTAGATGTTCCTATAAAACTCATTTCTTGAGAAGTGCTGGTGTTGCTTTTATGGAGTTTTCCTAGAATCATCTAGTTCCTGCTGATACAGGATCCACTAGACTAGAGCAGGGGTGTCAAACTGGGGGCTCACAGGGCCAGATGCATCATGTGCAGACCACACCCACCCCAGCTCCGCGAAGGGAAAAAACTATCATGAAACATCATGTGACAGCAATGTGACACCGTGAGTGTGATATCTGTGCACTAGAGCATCTCTGACAGCTGACCAACAATTTGGTGAGGTAGAACTCACAACTTCATGTAGCAGCTTATTCTACCGAAGGATATCAGTCAGAAATATATTCCTAATATCTAGCCTGAATCTACTGCCTTGTAGTTTTAATCCATTGGTTCTATACTATTAGGCAACAGAGAATACATCCATTCTTTCTTCTATGTGATAGCTCTTCAAATATTTGAAAGCTGCTGTCATATATCTCCTCCCTTATGTAGGCTAAATACACCAAGATTCTTTAACTGTTCTCCATCTTGGTCACCCTCCACTGAACCTGCTCCAGTTTGATATCCTTTTTGAACTGCAATGTCACAACTGGATGTGATATTCCACATGTGGTCTAATCAGGGCAGAATAGAGTGGAAAAATTACCTGGGAACAGTTTTGCCCTGAACAATTAGTTAGGTTGGATAGAAATTATTATATGTTGGAGAGGGTCACACAGATCATTGCATTTAGCTAGAGAGTAGTTCAGAAGTTAATTAAAGCTAATGATTTGTCCAGATAAAATTAAATCAACTTTCCTTGAATATATTGCAATGCTAACTATCAATATTTATTCACTTCATTCAGTGTCTACATTGCACTAGAACCACAATAAACACCAATATAATCTCTTCATTAGAACAATACATTTTAACATCCAATGTCTTTGAATTTAAATTATTACATGTCTATAATAGTACTTCCAATTTGACAATTACTTTTTATATAACTTGTAGCACCACCCTACAATCAGTAGAGGGCATTGTCATTTATCAGCTTTACAAAACAATCATACAATAAGAATTTCAATCTCTGTTCAATTTTTGAGGACCATTCTAATATACCATCCTCAAAATTTTGAACCAGCAAAGAGAGACCCTGTCAAACAAGACAAAAGAGTTTGATTCTGGAAGCAAATGAACTAAAATTATGCTTTTTTTTCTGTTGTCCTCCAAATCTGTGAGAACCAGGTATTTTATCCAGATTCTAGAAGATTAGATAAGAGGATGTTGGCAGGGACTGGTCATAATTCTAACAACTGAGAAAATGGGGAGATCCAGAACAATCAAGCTCACATAACTGAGAAATTTTTAAAACCTTTTCTTAGGGAGATGAAAAGTGATCAAGGATAAGCAGCCCATGTGGCAGGAAAAACTACAACATCTTCCCTTAAAGCAGTGGTTGCCAAACTTGTTTATGATGCCCCATGCCCCCAGAAAATGTTTGATTAATATTTGCACCCGCTAAAAAAGTAATTATGACTTGGACCTGTCACTAAGGAACACAAGTCACTCTTTGTCATACCTCCTGAAATTGCATCTCACATTTCCTGAGAATGCAGTCACCCCAGGTTAAGAACCTCTTCCTTAAGGTCTTTTTCCATTATTGTGTTAAGTGCTATCCAACCATCCCCCACTGGTAATTTATATCCTAAGTCTATGGTGACAATCCTACAATTGTCCTAGTTTTAAGGCACTACTCATATAGTCCCCTGATTTTACTAGATGAGAAAGGTCATCCTTGACCAGACTGGAATAAGGTGAAAATATTGTACTACTTTAATCCAAGCACAGCTAAGGATGACTTAAGCTTTTGAGTCACACATGAGCTAGGCACAAGATAAAAGAAATATCATGGAGACACACAACAGGAAAAAGATGCAATGGAGAAAGAAACTTAGTTATAAATCTGTTCAAATTTACAAAGCATTGGCTCTAAAGCAATGACTTTAGAATTTTGGTATAGCTCTAGTTCCATTGGCTGAAATCACCTGTAAACCTTGCATTTAGAATCTAGTATCGCACAGATGTGTGACTTTGTAGTATCTCACAGATGTGTGACTTTATTTGTAGCTCCTACTCCTTCTTTATTTTTTTTACCCCCTCACATGGTCTATTATATGAGGTAGTTAATTCTGCTACTTCTTGGGAGAAGGACAAAACCTGATCTGACTGCTGAATACCACAAAATACCACAAAATATGAACTCCTTGACTAGCACTGAAATTGAAAGGAAGATGCAAAAATCCCATTCTTCAAGATTTCAAAGAATAAGGACATAAGATAAAATCCCAACAAGAATTGTCCTTAGGCCATAGAATAACACCAGGGCCAGCATAGTGGTGTACAACCTGGACCCAAGCCCTCCCTTGCCAGCCTTCGGCATGATCCCCTCTACACCAATACATTGCAATTATTAATGTGGCAGAAATGGAAAATGCTTAAATAATCAGGGCATTATTATTTAATTCATTTAATGTGAACGTTATCTCTACTCCCATTTCTTAAGTTGGCCCTCATTTGTTGGGGAGGAGTGTGACTTACAGCATGTCCCTTGAAGGCCACCTTAGTCCATGGGATTAAAAAAAAATATCTGAACACCTCTGGAGTAGAATGCAATGATGAAACAGTCACATTGTGGTCTCCTTCCCTCCTTTTCTGGTTTTATACCACGTCAGTGTCTTTGGCCTCTCAAAGTGCTATGTGGCAATGAGTGAGGTCTCAGTAGAGATAGCAAAGGAGTGGCCTGAATCGCCATGAAGCACCCTGTACAAGAGCTCCTCTTTCTCTCGGTGACCTTGCTCCCTCAGCTGGGTCTCCTTCTCCAGGGCATCACGAATGGTCAGAAGCTCCTCAGACAGCTGCCTATGGTAAGAATTACAATTCTTAGACTACGTTGTACAGAAAGGAAGGAAGAAGTATGCATCAGTTTTCATTCCAAGGATTTGCTACTTCTTCTATATAAACCAGTGTAAAACTTGCACTGCTTAGTGGCTACATTTAAAGACTTTCCAATTAGAAAGGCTTTGAAGCTTTTGTGGTCTTCAAAGCCTTTCTAATTGGATCTAATAATTTGTTTTATTTTCTGCATTGGTGAAGGTTTGGGGATTACCACAACAGGTTCTTGATTCCTTGAAGATATTTTAAAATGGCCAATTTACCCCTTTAAATAGCTGGTATTCTGCATTGTCCCCAAAATATATGTCTCACTCTCTGGAGGAAAACCCTTGAGGCCTCAAAAATGACAAGCTCAGTTAATTCCAGGGTCAGAGTCTGTTCTTATTTGTGGCTCTTCAAATGTTACTGAACTCTTAATTGTCATCAGTTGTAGCCTGAGTTTACCCAAGATGCTAAGCCATGATTTCCTTGATCATAATTTCTTGAATACATCATTATAAGTCATAAACCATGATTTCCAAACCCTAGTGGCTTTTAAGACAAAGCCAGAGTAATGCCATTATGGCTTAGTGTGTGGTATGAGCCCAGCTAGTCTATCAGTTGGGAGGAATAATGGAAGGTTACAGTTTAAAAACATATGGAAACCACAAAGCATGCATCCAGCTCTGCTAGGAGAAATTACTGATTGGGGAGAAAAGCACACATAATATATTGTTGAAAATAAACATTTTTTTAAAAAAAACTGCCCAATTTAGTTGTTATTTACATGTTTGTAATGCTACTAAGTGCAGTAGCCATGAGACTTTGGGGAAGAAAAACATTTCCCGTAGTCATCAGATTACACTGACATGGAAAACTGATCAAACAGGAATCATCTTTGAATGGGAGCTAGTTTGGGTCTAGTGCTTAAAACACCAGGATAAAACCAAGGTGGCCGAATTCTAGTTCTGCCTAGTTATAAAAGCTGGCTGGGTGACTTTGGGCCAAACAGTCTCTCTGGACTCCACCCAATTCACAGTTTTCTTGTTCTGTGGAAAAGAGGTTCTTCTGCTCCTTGAGTTACTTATAAAGTAAGATAGGTGAGATAAAAATCTAATAAATAAAATAAAATAAAATCTTTTAAGGGTTGTTACTGTAGTGAAGACTCCACCTTGTCACTGTCATGTGGTTCTGCATCCGTACTTGGAGATCTTCATTTTCCTGTTGTAGAATTTTAATTTTCTCTTCAAGTAGTAAGTTTGACTCCATCTAAAAGAGGATCAGAAGGGTGACAAACCTCAGATACAATGAAGGTATAGCATGCAAGAAGTTCACAGTCACATAAAGACAAAGGAGCAAGCCGTGGAACTTTATATAGGAATGTGATCATCCTAAACACATTTTCATCCTAGAAACTCTAGATTTATAAGTGCACTAATAAAATCCTGGTCTCTGCCTTCATATCTGTTGAGAATTGAGAATCACTTGCCTTTTGAAGGAAATGGAAGAACATTACTGGTTGTAAAGTATTTTTCAAGCCCAAATGCACCTTCCAAAAGTCTTGGATTACAACTCCAAACATTAGCATGTAATTGTATGAAAAAGCATGTGATTTTCAGGGAAGGTCAAAGGTTCCAATTCCCAACAGTACCAATTCGGGCTGAAAAATGCTTATCCATAACCCTCAAGAATCCTTACCAGTATAAATAAAACATATTCAATATTATCAGTGATCTGACTTTGAGTTCTGCATGGATCTGCTCACAAGGAGAACTGAGTCCCCTAGTGATCCGACAACATAATCCCTAGGTGCTTAGCCTGTCACCTCCTCCCTACCATTGCACTTGGGAGGTTTTGTGCAAAATGGAAACAAGTACCATTGCCAAAGTGGAAGTGAATCACAGCCTTGTCTTGCAAAGAGCAAGCAGCCTATGAGGCTGTAGGAGACCCCTGATTCCACCTCCCTGCTCCCATTATCCCATAAGGCAAAGAGGGGAATGGCAGGTTTGCATAAAGGGATCCTGCTATGGCCAGTTGATAAAAGGCTTGTGGTTTCTTGCTCATTCTGGAGAATAGAAGGAAGGGCTTTGCTGTAATTCCTCACAAATCAGAGGGGTGGGATTATAAGGCATCCCTAATTAGGCTGGTAGATGACTACTGATTGGCTGAGATATTTCTTTGCTTATCTAATGACCAGGAAGGGGAAATTTGATTTGATTTGATTTGATTTGTCAATCGCTTACAAGATAACAGGCATAAGTATAAACATAGTTATGAATACATGAAATGGATACGTATAAGAAAAATAAAAAAAGAAACAATAGGACAAGGACGGTAGGCACGATTGATGCGCTTATGCATGTCCCCTACAGACCTCTTAGGAAAGGGGTGAGGTCAATAGTAGACAGTCTAAGGTTAAAGTTTTTGGGGTTTGGAGAAGAAACCACAGAGTCAGGTAGAATATTCCAGACAATATTCCACTCTGTTGCTGAAGTCATATTTCCTGCAATCAAGTTTGGTGTGGTTAACCTTGAGTTTGCATCTATTGTGTGCTCTTGTATTGTTATAGTTGAAGCTGAAGTATTGACAGGTAGGACATTGCAATGTATAATTTTATATACTATACTTAGATCGGACCGAAGGCGGTGTAGTTCTAGATTTTCTAGGTCTAGAGTTTCAAGTCTGGTGGCATAAGGTATTCTGCAATGAGTAGAGCAGCGGATAACTCTTCTTGTGAAATATTTCTGGACTTTCTCAACTGGACTGTCCGTTCTCTGAAAATACTGCATATTCATAAACATGTGAAAATACCAGTACCTGCTGCATCGCAGTGTCTTAAAAGAGCCTCTCAAGCCATTTTTTCATTTTAATAGTGAGATTAGATGATTTGGGCCATGAAAAAATTGGTCATTTGGAAGAATAAGGCAGTTTATTTGTATTCCTATCTTTTCATTCCAGAGTATCTAGTGGCACAAAATGGGAACAGGCGATTCTCTCTCTTTTGAAGTACAATACAGCTCTTTTATTAGTCTTTTCAATTACATTTAGAATTCATACAAGTAACCCACCACTATTTCCAGGTTCAGCAGCTTCTTGTCCAAGCTGTGGATGCGTTCATTCTTCATCTCAATGACAAAATGTAGACTCTCTAGTTCTTGCTCCCAGAACTGGCTGGGGGTCCCATAGTCCTTTTAAAATAAAGGTTTTTATTTTTAAAAAGAGAGAAATGAATTTATTTGTTTGTAGCAGCTCTGTCCCCCCCCTCACCCCCAATATAAGTTGCCAAAATAGCTAGCAAAAAAAGGCATTAAGCTTCAACTAGTCCAAAGCAGGAATGGGCATGCTTTGGTTGATCCCTGTGACACCTGTGCTCTGCGAGCTACACTGGTTGCCAATTTGCTTCCAGGGAGGTGGTTGCTTCCTAGAAAGCCTTACATAGCATAGGACCTGGTTATTTGGGAGGTTGGGCTATTTCCTATAGTGTCCACCCTGTTGATTCAATCCTGTAGAATTGACACACTCCAGTTTCCTTTTATTAAGCAATATCCTCTATAAGGATCCTGGAAGTGCACCTCTCTGCATTTGCCCTCTGGAATGAGATTCCCCCCGAAGATCCAGATGATCCCCACTTCACCTACTGGAAGCCTTTGGCAAGAGAGGATGAGACCTCTCACTTCAATATGCATGCCATCTTTTTTATTTCATAATTTCTTGTTTTATTGTTGTGAGCCATTCAAAGTACAGTAACTGAATCTCAGGTAGCATAATAAGAGCAGAGGTCCTTGTTTAATGATCACTCATTCAGCAACTGTTTAAAGTTACAATGGCACTGAACCAATGGTGATCATGATTGTTCCTTGAAATTCTGGCCATCCCAACACCACTGTGGACAATAATTGCAATCCAAGAACTTGACAATTGACTTGCATTTACAATAGTTGCAGCATCGTTCAATCAGGTGACTACGATTTGCAACTTTCCCTGCTGGCTTCCCATGAGCAAAGTCATGTGGTAGCTGGCAGAGAAAGCTGCAAGTTTCTTGGGTAAGTCTTTCCCACCTGTGTACCCTCTCTGAGACTGTGTGCTTGTGCTTGTTTTCTGGTCACCTGCACAAACTTGTGCACCCTCCCCTACCCAGCAGCAGTCACCCCAAGCCCCACCATGCTCTGCTGTGTGTCCTTTGCTACTTATGTATGCTTGCACCCCATCTGCAGCCATCTTTGCATTCCCTTTCTCCTTCTCCCACCCAGCAGTAGCCATTTGCCAGTCTCTGTCCTGTTTGCAAGCCACCTGGGGTTTGCAACTTCCTGCTGACTTCCATGTTGAGTTTGTTTGTGGGAAACCAGCAGGAAGTTGAGAGAAAATATTTACTTAACAACCCACTATTTTCACTTAATGACAATAGCAACAAGGACTTCAGGGTTTACCGTTGCCAAGTGGTGTGATTATGTAACATTATGCTTTATGACCACATTAGTTAGTCATAATTCAAGGACTATCTGTAAACAGTTTTAAGCACACTAAACCAAGCAGCAATGGGAACTGGGAAAAATAATCGTTCTTATGACCTGGTAGTGCAGAATGGCGGCTGAAAGCAAAAGAATATAAATATCTTTCCTCCAACTTCTTTATTGTGGTTTTATTTTGGTATATTCAGAAGACCCTGCTGTTTAGACTTTCTTACTTGCTGTCTTTAAATAAACAGATCAAGCTATCCCGCACAGTGGTAAAGTCACCTGAATGTGCTTTTTATAATCTCTGCTCAGAATTGACTCTTCTACCCGTTTCATTTTCTCCTGAAAGGCCTTCAGCTGGGAAGTCAGCTTGTCAATAGTCTCCTGGAGCAGAAAAATAAGACAGATTATTCTTTCTTTATGACTGTCATCGGATTTTCCCTGCTCTCCACACTCAGTGCCATAGTGCTGAAATGAGTTGTTTCCACCATTGGCTACCTCGTTTTTAATTTCATCAGAACCTCAAAGGTTAATGATTTGGAGCAAAATTTCCTTTTGCCGTTTCTGATACAAAAGCCATAGCAGTTGGAATGCTATACTAGCATATTACTGGTTTTGGACATTTCTCCACCAATGATATCATAGCATTATCCATCCATTTTTGTGCTATCACAAGACCTCCCCTGTTTCTTCTTTATTATGAGTAGAAGACTCTGGAAGATGCCATAGGCCGTTAATAAGAATGTTGGTGTTTCCAAACAAGAGCAGAATAGCAATAATAATTTTCTACCACTACACACCTATAGTACAGCTAGTTTCATGATCCCCAATTCCTCCAAGTACAATCTATAATATAATGATACAATTTATATCCCCCAACATTGTGACCTATAGAAGTATGACAGTATAATTGGGAAGGGACCAGGTAGAACAATGCAGATCAAAACAGAGATGAAAGTTTAAGACGTTTTTATCATTATTAGACAAATATACTTCACTATGATTTACTGAACTCTGTATTGTAGTTATCAACAGGTAACTTTAATGGCTCCTTTCTTTGTCATGGCAGAGAGATGATTGCTTCAAAAGTAACATATTTAATAATACAGGAGCAGTTTATACAGTTATTTAAGCAAACTGATTTGTCAGGCCTGTCAGTTCTGCTGTTAACGATAACCTCCTGATACCATATTTCAATTTTTAGCAACAGATTTTTCAACTGTCATACATTCAAGAGTACAAACCATGTACTTCGTTATAAACAGAGTTCAAAATGGATGCATCACAAGACTGCAACTTACAATGTTACTTCTGTATTCTCCAATGTTACTCTGCTTGTCAGAAGTGAGCTGGAAAGCACAGCAAGTGGTGATCATGTAACAACCATGGGACGTGCAACAGGTGTAAATGCACATTGCTTGCAAAATGTCCAAACGGGAATCACATGATCATGGGATTACTGCAATGGATGTAAATGCAAAGATTAGTTGCAAAGCTGTTTTTTTTTCATAACATCATAACTTTGAATGGTTGCTAATTGAGGCAGTTGATAAGGCAAGGGCTACCTATATGGCCAGGAATATACTGGCTTAGGGCACCAAAACTTATGAGGCACCAGTGCCACCCCTCCTTCCAAATCATCCCCTAAATGCAAATCTTCGCATCATACTTACACACATGAAAGCACCCAGACCTATACTGTCCTTAGTCAACTACAATAATTACAGCTGGGAAACGTAATAGCTAGCTAGGCGATGCGATTGTGAAGTGAGCTGTCACATGATTGTGCCGACCTTATGATTGGCAGTTTCAGTTGAGGTCATTAGGTGAATCCCTCATAATCGTTAAGTGTGATAGCAATAGCACTTAGACTTATGTGCTGCTTCAAAGTGCTTTAGAGCCCTCTCTAAGCGGTTTAGAGAGTTAGCATTTTGCCCCCGACAATCTGGATCCTCATTTTACCGACCTCAGAAGGATGGAAGGCTGAGTCAACCTTGAGCCTGGTGAGATTCGAACTGCTAAATTGCAGGCAGCCGGCAGGCAGCAGAAGTAGCCTGTAGGACTGCACTCTAACTGCTGTGCCACCAGGTATCAGTGATGTCACGATTGCCTTTTGCAACTTCCTTTGTTGTCAGAAGCCAGCAGTGAAGATTGCCAATGGTGATCACGTGACTGCAGGATGCTGTGAGCCTCATAAGTGTGAGTCAGTAAATGCCTGAATCACAATCATGGGATTGTAGGTACACTGTGAGGGTTGCAACCTCAAGGATAGATGGTAAATCTTTCTGTTCTGCGCCATCATAATTTCGAATGGTCACTAAACAAATGACTGTTCACTGAGGATTACTGGTAGCAATTTATAGATGAATATTCATACACGCCACTGTGTTAGGGCTAGGATGGTAAAGGGGTGGGATAAGGATAGCCTTTTTGGCTGCCATTTTGATCCCCACTGTACTGAATCTAGAGCTTTCTGCTTCCCTGAAGCGGAGAAACTGGTACCTGCAAAGATGCCTGAGTTTTTTGGTAGGATTCAGTTAGGAACAGCTTCTCTTGATCATGTGTTTTCTGGAGTTCTGCAAGAGAAAGACAAAATGGGGGTCCAAACAAGAGAAAACACAAGCTCCATTTTGATGTATCCATGATTTCTATATATGCAGTGACTGACAAATCACTCATATTGAGTCACATCCTGGAGGCAGATGGAGTAAGCAAACAGAGCATAGGATAGACAAAGAGCCAGAAGGCACTGAAAAACAGGATGAACCACATTATTAAAGTATTGTGCATCTCAAGTGAATATGAGTTTTCTATAGGGAACAAGAATGATAGCAAATTGGTTTGGGGAGATGTCATACTGGTGATGAGCCGAGAGTTTCCTGCAAGCATCACCAATTGCTAGAGAAGCAATTGAAGGCACCTCTTTCTTTATAGCAAAATTACGACTAAAGCTTTTTTAGAGGTGATAAGTGATCAGTCATTAAAACCTGTGCTCATAAATGTGATTCTATTGCTGTCATTTCTTGCTGAGTCTCTGTGGTTATTACTTACGCTTTGGTCACTTGGCCATCTTTCGGCATCCTTCCCATCAAACTGGAGAAAGAGGCTTAATTCTGCTGTTAATAAAAGACAACTATCTGTGACAGGTAGGACCCAAAGGGAAAGCACTGAGAGGCAGAAGATCCAATGGACAATTTGGCAATCTCACTGTAGGAATGTTAGACCACCAGAACCAAGCCCATGAAGAAAAGCAATAGAATCTGTATTATTGTCAACACGTACAGTATATGTAAATTGAAGCTTGTTCTTCCGAAGGTCTCTCATTCAAACAAAATATTAAACTGCAAGGCAAGGGAGCCCCAATAGCACTTAGACTTATATACTGCTTTATAGTGCTCCAAAGCCCTCTCTAAGCAGTTTACAGAGTCAGTATATTGCCCTCAACAATCTGGGTCCTCATTTTACCCACCTCGGAAGGATGGAAGGCTGAATCAACCTTGAATGGGATTCGATCTGCCAAAGTGCAGGCAGCTGGCTGTCAGCAGAAGTAGTTTGTAGTACTGCACTCTAACCATTGCACCACCGAGGCTCTATTCAAAGCCCCAAAGGGCATTTGCACCTCATACCAGGTCAGATAGGTGGCCGGTGTCCTATTCCCTTCCCCTACATATTGCCTTCTGATGGCTGCCTTTTCTGTGACAGCCCCTACCCTGCCCTAAGGAACACTTTCCCACTCTGAACAGACAGGCCTCTGACCTCCTAGCCTTTCATAAAGCTTTGAAGACCCAGCTTTCCCCCCAAGTGATGGGATAAGAATAGGTAAGTACACATTAGAAGTTTGACTTGGTGTCAGGTGTTTATTGTTTTTAATTTTTATTCATTTATTTGTTAAATTTCTATGGCCACTCAGCTCAGTCAATGATGCTATTATGTTTTAATGTATTTGGTTTTACAGTTCACTGTGGTTTTCCTGTTATCTGAACATTTGATTGAGGGGTGCCCAGAGTTGTTTATAAGAGGGGTGAGTATATACATGTTTTAAGTAAATAAATAAAACTTGATCCTGTCTAGATGTGGGGAGCCATACTTATTTCATTCCCAGCCTTCATCTTTAATGGTAGAGACTTGCCACAGACTCGTTTTACACTAATCTGGATTATTATTTCTGCCCTTTTTATATATAACTCAGGGTGGCATACATTGGTACTTTATTTTTAAAAAAGTCAGAAACAGAAGAAGTGTCATAAATACCGTAAACATGTTTTAGATTCTTACTTTGCAGTGTGTCCTCCTGTTCTCTCTTCAACATATCATATTTTTCAGAGAATTGTTTGTGCTGTAAGTCCTCTTTCTCTACCTAAAGGAGAGAAAGGTATAAAAGGTAAAGCTGTAGATAAATAAAAATAAAACATTATCATGAAACATTCTGCATTGTAATCATCCAAAAAGAATTTTCCTCATATTGGTCTCTTCTAAATTACAACTCCCAAACTCCCAGTTGACTGAAATGGGAGTGGCCAGATTAGCATTTTAATTTTATGCAGCTCTGTGAATAACCCTAATGAATCTGCATCTGAATATACTTACGTAGAATTTTGAATAGAGACTGATGATGTTAGAAGCATTCTTTTCCCCTACTCGAATATCAGATCAAACAGGTTTGGTAGGCTTTTAAAATATGAGGGGGAAAAAAACCCATGCAAAAAAAAAATAAAAAAAGGATCAATTGCAAAAAGTATGTTTTTATCATGGAAAATTGTTAATTATTAACACAGCACTATGGCACAGAGATAAAGAAGCAGACTTGATGGATGAAAAATGATAGATTACTTAGTGTTTAGTTCATATCCATAGTCAACCAACAACTGGTGGCTGTTAAGGATATTCTAATCTGCAATAGGGGTGAATATCTGCAGCTTGGGTATAGGATGAGAGTGAAGGTTTGTTCTCCAAGCGTGTGGGTTGGTGTCTGAATGTATCATTACCAGGCTAGATAACATCTTCAGTGGAGTCTGATGTTAACATATTGTTCTGACCTAGGCTTCCCCCAAAAGCACTAAGCAGACTCTTTGTCCCGGCAAAATCCCTTTTATTAAATGAAGGTGAATTTCTTGCATTCACATTCAGTCAAAGGCCTGGTAAACAGTCTTTCAAAGATGTAATTAGAAGCACAGACCTTATCTAGCTTGGAGAGCTGCCAAATAAATATTTTCAAACACAGTGCTGACAAGGAGGGACTCAGTATAGAGTCTCTGAGATGCACAGAAAGATCTTCACACTGCTGCAAAGAATTCATTGTTTCCTACAAAAGCCCCCTCCCTGTTTAAACCCTACAGGAGGGGGCATTCACTGTCCACCTGTGGCATTACTCCCACGTCGACCCTTTGTTTGTAAATGTTCTTTTCTTTTGGCAGCTCTGCACATGTGCAGGTTGGGAACTGGTTCCAGCTGCTCCCCCGCCTCACTGCTGTCCGACTCCAAAGGCAACTGATGGCTGCCAGCCTGCCCTGGCCCCATCTCTGCCTCTGACGCAGAGCCCTCATCCAAGTCTTCCTCAGCCTCAGGACTGACTCATGCTCCTCCCCAACCTCCTCACTGTCCAACTCTGCTTCTGTTGTAGATTGAGCAATGAGAGGCTAGACCAGGGCATGGATGCAACAAGACTTTATTAAAGAAATAAAGGACTGAACGTGTTAGCCTTGCCTGGAGCAGGCTCACAGCGAACAGCGGCTGACCGAACCCTGCAGCTGGCTTTTATAGCCGGCCGTCGAGGGAAGCCAGCCAATGAGGGGCAGCAAACGCCCCCGCAGCATGAACGGACCTGGGTGGGGACTTTGGCAAGTTCCAGGGACATAACACCCCTTCCCCCCGGATGCGAACATGCATAGTCATTTAAATAAGCGGGTGGTCTGTGCTGGCGCCCCGAGCGTCGTAACTCAGGCGAGTTACCAAGTGTCTCAGAGTTCGAAGAAACAGGTAGGGTTGGTGATGGGGTGCGAACTCGTTTGGAGGTCTGTGCTGGTACCGGTGAAGTGCTTCTGGCCGGTGGTGCCGTAGCCCCATCAGACGGTTCAGGTGGAGGACCCATCAGGCAGTCCCGGTCTACTGCCTGCTCCCTCAGTTCGGGTGATGGTGGCGAAGAGCCTCTGGAATGGTCTGCGATGAGAGTTTGGTGAGGCACCTGGGGGCTGACCTGTGCCCACGATCCGGCACTGGCGAGGGTACCCTGTCGCTTCCTTAGCTGGTCCAGGTGTCTTCTCCAGATGCGGCCGTCTTCCAGCTGGACTCGGTACGACCGGGGACCGGTGATGGCTACAATCTCCCCTGGAATCCAAAGTGGGTCTCCGGTGTAGTTCCTTGCAAAAACATGTTCCTGCAAGACAAAATCCGTCAAAATGTCGTCGAGGCAAGAGGGGTGTCAGGGCAATAGTGAGGGTGGAGCCTATCCAACACAGTTCTTAGGCGTCTACCCATCAGAAGTTCAGCTGGGGATTTGTTGGTGACCATGCAAGGGGTTGAGTGTTGGCTTAGTAAGAAACGGGAGAGTTTGTGATGCCAGTCTTCTTTGCTGAATCTGGCTAACGCTTCCTTTGTGGACCTAACGGCTCTCTCTGCCAATCCGTTGCTGGCAGGATGAAAGGGGGCCGTGAAGATGTGTCGGATGCCAAGATTGGTGGCAAAGCGGCTGAATTCTGTAGAGGCAAACTGGGGGCCATTATCCGAAACTATGGTATCTGGTAGCCCGTGTGTCACGAATAGACGGGTCAAGGCCTTGGTAACCGCTTGTGTGGTGGTCGTGGATAGTTGGGCCACATCGATCCATTTAGAGTATGAATCTACGACCACCAAGAAGGTTTTGCCGTGTATTGGACCCGCTAAGTCAATGTGAAGCCTTGACCACGGCGCGTTGGCGCTCTCCCACTTTGTGGGGGTGGTGACTGGAGGGGATGGTCTGGATTCCTGACAGGGTTGGCAAGAGCTTACCCACTTGACGATGTCGTCGTCCAAGCCAGGCCACCAGACGTAACTCCGAGCCAACGCTTTCATCCGAACGATGCCCGGGTGGCCCTCGTGTAGTGCCTCTAGGACTGGTGTGCGAAGCGAGGCCGGGATGACAACTCTGGTGCCCCACAACAGGCAGCCCTGCAAGCTAGATAGCTCCTGTTGACGGGTCTTAAAAGGTGTGAATTCGGTTGCGAGGTTAGTGCCCGGCCACCCCCTCCTCACCCAGTCCAGTACCTGGGCGATTGTCTTGTCCGTCTTGGATTTGGTGGCGATGTCGAGGGCGGTGATAGGAAGGTCGAGCTCGGTGACATCGAAGATGGCATGGACCGGGGCCGGGTCCTCAGCTGGAGCTGGCAGGGGGCAGCGGCTGAGGGCATCTGCGTGGCTTAACGTTTTTCCTGGGCGGTGGATGAGCTTGTACGAGTATGCCGCCAGGAACAAGGTCCACCTCGTCATTCTGGGAGACAACACTTGGGGAGTCTGCTTGTCTCCGGATAGAAGACCCAGAAGAGGCTTGTGGTCCGTGATTAATTCGAAGTTGTGGCCAAAAAGGAATTCATGAAATTTCTTTACCGCTGCCACTGCGGCTAAAGCCTCCTTGTCGATTTGACTATAGTTACGCTCTGTTGCTGAGAGCGTTCTGGAAAAGAAAGCGATTGGTGCCTCGGAGCCGTTGGGTAGTCTGTGGCTTAAGACAGCTCCAATCCCAAAAGGGGATGCATCAGCTGCTAGTACTAATGGAAGATGTGGGTCAAATTGTATAAGGACCGCGTCTGATGTGAGCAGTGATTTGACTGCGCGAAAAGCGGTGTCTTCCTTGTGTCCCCAGTGCCAAGGTGATTTTTTATCTAAGAGCCTGTGTAAAGGCTCTGCTACTGATGCCTTGTGAGGTAGGAATGACGCATAGAAGTTCAATAATCCCAAAAAGGCTTGTAGCTTGGCTTTAGTGGTTGGTGTGGGTGCCTCGTGGATTGCCTTGACTTTGGATTCTAGGGGGTGAATGCCTGAGGCGTCAATTCTATAGCCCAGAAAGTCCACCTGTCTAGTGGCAATGGCACATTTCTCCCTTTTTAATTTGAGGCCATGCTGCCTGAACCTGTCTAACACTGCTCTGACTCTCTGGAAGAGTTGGGGCCTGTCCCTGGCCGAGACCAATATGTCGTCGAAGTAGGGTACTACGCCAGGGAGGCCCTGAAGTATACGCTCCATGAGGGATTGGAAAATGCCAGGGGCAACACTTACGCCAAATTGGAGACGCCTACACCGGAAAGCACCCCTGTGGGTCACGATAGTTTGTAATTCGGCTGTTTGGTTGTCAACAGGGAACTGTTGATACGCTTGTGACATGTCCAATTTGGCAAAAATGTTGCCAGGCTCAAAAGTGTGCAATAAATGTTGAATGACCGGGACTGGGTAAGCGCTAACTTGTAGAAAACGGTTAATTGTTGTTTTGTAATCCGAACAAATTCTCAGACTGCTGTCTTTTTTAAGGGGTGTGACAATTGGCGTCTCCCATTTGGCAAAGTCTGTCGGCTCAATGACCCCTTGCTTTAATAATTTATCCAGTTCCGCGTCCAGTTTAGGCCGAATGGCGAATGGGACTCTACGAGGATTCAGCCGGACTGGAACTGCTTGGGGGTCAACTGCAAATGAGATGGGAGTACCGTTATAACACCCCAACTCATCGCTGAATACGTCTGAGTAGTCAGTGAATAAGGAGTCAGTGTCAGAAGCTGAGACAGAATGGACTCCTGTTAACCCTAGGCCGAGGTAGGGGAACCAATCAAGCCCCAAGAGACTAGGGAGGTTGCCGTTAACTACCACTAGAGGCAGGTGGCCTTTGAAAGCTTTAAAATTAACAAGGAACTTGCCTTTGCCGAGTACTGGAATGTCCTTCCCTTGATAGTCCCTCAAGGTGAGCTGGCACTTCTGGAGCTGGCTTCTGAATAGTCTGGGCTGGATTTTCTTGAGTGTGTTCCAAGAGATGATTGAGAGCGCTGACCCCGTGTCAACCTCCATACGACAAGGTTTACCTTCTAATAAAATGGAGAGTGTGATTTTACTAATAGAATGACAGGTGTGGTTAGCATGGTAGCAAGTGTGACACTTTAGTACTTGCCTTTGGTGCCCAGAATGGGGAAAGGAAGGAACCCTTTGTGTGGAGCTGTGAGCAGCCTGGCAGACTCTGGCGATGTGGCCCTTTTTGTGACAATTGTTGCAGGTGGCACCCTTGAATCTGCATGAAGCTCTCGAGTGTGGTCCGCCACAGGATAGGCACAGGATGATATGTTTGGGTTCACTGCTGCTATCCTGCCTGGTTCCTACCTGCGGTTGCTTAGCCTGGGTGAGACGGTGGATGTCTGTTTGATCGTTGGGATCGTCTTCGTTGATCACCTTCTCCGAGTGGATGGTGGCACAGCTTTGTTTGGGAACTGACCCTTGAATCTCGGTGGCTGACTGGGTTGCCAGCTCTGCTGCCAAGGCTTCCTCGACGGCCTGGGAGAGGTTGAGATCCTTCCTGGCAAGCAGTCGCCTTTGGAGGTGAAGGTCCTTGACCCCGCAGACGAGCTGGTCGAGCAGCATGTCATCTAAGTAGTTCTTGAACTCGCAGTGGAGGGCTGCGGTTCTCAAGGCGGCCATGTACTGATTGATAGTTTCCCCTTCAGCTTGCTTCCTCATCTGGAAGGCGAAACATCTCGCAATTTGTGAAGGCTTGGGGGAGTAATGATTTGTGAGGATCTCCAGCAGTTCTGCCCAGGGGACGTTCTTTAACTCACGTGGAGCAACGAGTGCTGTGGCGGTATCAAAAACGATGGCTCCGCAATAACTGAGGAAGAATGACTTCTTTCTGTGCTCCCCAGCATCAGCCAGACCAATGGCATCGATGTAGTGGTTAAAACGATTTTTGTATGACTCCCACTTTTCTTCATCAGGCTTGAACGGTGGGAAGGCTGGGTTGGAGTTCATGTTGTGAACTTCTGCAGGTTACTCAGCTGTGAGGTCTCTCTGGGACGACAAAATGGCCCTTCGTGCTCTTGTCAGGCTAGTGACTTCAGCTCTTGAGAGGTTCCACAGAATCTCTCTGTTCTCTCTGGGTTACGCTATGGCTCAGGCTGCAACGGTCGTTGGCAGCGTTATTTGAATTTCGCGCTCCTGGAGAGCGTAGGCGGTAATGGCTGACCACCTCTGACAGTGATTCGAATCTCGCGCCCTGCGCCGGCGTCAGAGACTCCAGGAATGACAGCACCGCGCTGTACTCCGACTCGAATTCAAACGACAGCCATTTGAATTTCGCGCCCTTTTGAGCTGCGCGGCTGCAGCTCGCAGCGCTTCACTTTCCCTGTAGCTTGCTAACCGAGCGGCTACAGACGCTCTTCCTTTCGCTTTTGCTGACCGAGCTCTCCGGCGGCGCGGCTGCGGCTCAGCAATTGAGTGACTTCAGCTGTTGCGGATTCCCTCTGGTAGCCATCCCACCCTCGTCGCCAGTGTTGTAGATTGAGCAATGAGAGGCTAGACCAGGGCATGGATGCAACAAGACTTTATTAAAGAAATAAAGGACTGAACGTGTTAGCCTTGCCTGGAGCAGGCTCACAGCGAACAGCGGCTGACCGAACCCTGCAGCTGGCTTTTATAGCCGGCCGTCGAGGGAAGCCAGCCAATGAGGGGCAGCAAACGCCCCCGCAGCATGAACGGACCTGGGTGGGGACTTTGGCAAGATCCAGGGACATAACAGCTTCCAGCTCCACTAGCTGCTGGTGGGCCACAACACATATGATGATTTAGGTAGAAATAGCATAGCTTGTTTTCAGTAATGATGCCCTATCTCACAAATCTTGGGTGGCAACTACTGTAAATCAGCTAGTTACCATTAGCAGAAATTGCCCCATGGTCATCTGACACAGGAGCCAAATAATAAAGCTGTTAACTTTGTCTCCATATTTACCCAAGCAACACTATCTCAGTGCACTTTGGGGAAAAAAACAACACTCCTCAGTTTGAACAGCTTCAATTAAAGGAGAAAGAAGGAAGTAGGCAAACTTCCCCCAACTTTGGGAAAACCCACAGGGATTTCTCTTGCAGTACCGCTCTCCACAAAGAACAAGAAAATGGGAAATAGCAGGAAAGGGAATAAGCAATTGTGAAATTGGTGACATTTACAGCATACAGAGGAGAAGCTAACATTTGTATTCGTAGTTTTTTTTAAAGATCCCAAGTGAGTCCAAATATGTGGTCTTTAAAAACCGTGAATTTAAACCAACCGAAATAATATAACAAGGTTGTTCATCTTCAAATACAGAAGTACTCTACTCAGGTGACACAAAAAGGGGAGCCATATAAATCCTGAGTTTGTATGGCATCCCCGAGGAGTGTATTAGGGGCTTATCTGAATCTGATTACTTCAGAAAACAGAAGAAACAAAATTCCAAACTGAAAGGAAATATATGTGAGCACTTAATTAGATAAATATTGAATCGGCGAGTTAGGGCAACTCTAACCTGGAGTTGAATATCCTGGCTAAGTCTGTGAGTCTCAGCATGGTGAACTTCCTTCAGACAATCTTCCTCTTCCTGTAGTTGTTGCTGGAGCCTAGTGGTCTCCTCCATCTGCTTCTCCAGCAGTGCAGCCTTCCTTTTTTCTCCTTCATTGTGCAAATAATCTGTGTTGGCTTGATCAAGGAGAAGGAAAAAAAAGAAGAATTACATAGAAGTGGCTTTCTTTTCCCTTTCCTTATCTTGCTTGTTATGCTATTATTATTCTCCAACATTGTTATAAAAGCCCAATTAGTTATCTAAAAGTGTTTCTGGGAAGAGATACTACATGCTCTATAAATACAGGTAGTCCTCCATTTGATCACAATTTAGCCCCTGTTGCTACATAAGACATGTATCAAGTAAGCTTTGTCCCATTTTAAAATCTTTCTTGCCACAATTGTTAAGTGAGTCACTGCAGTTGTTAAGTTAGTAAAACAGTTGTTTAAATGAATCTAGCTTCCTCACAGATTTTGCTTGTCAGAAAGTCTCAAAAAGGAATCACATGACCTTCGGACACTGCAACGGTCATAAATGATATGTCAGTTGCCAGTCTGAATTTTGATCATGTGACCATGGAGACATCACAATAGTCATACGTGTGAAAAAACGGTTATACGTCATTCCTTTCAGTGTCATTGTAACTTTGAATGGTCATTAAATGCACTGTTGTATATGTCGAGGACTACCTGTACAGAAAAACAGGAATTTCTGAAGAAGCTTCTGGGATATCTGACATTGCTAGCAAGACGGCTCTTTCAGTCACACTGTCAACTAAAAAGATACTCCTTTGATCTTTTTAGCTACCAGAAAAAGGGAATGGGAGAAAACAAGGCATTCTTGAAATGCCTAGATAATCAACTCAGCAGCCCAAAGCTGTTGGAGCATAAGAAAGTTATTGGAGATCATGATGGATGACTCTTGGAGACTGATGTGTCCTATTGGAGAAGTCATATCAGGGTAGGGGGTGGGGGGGAGACACCAGGGTCAAGTGGGAAATGTATGATGTGATTTAGTATCGGCTGCACACAGCCACACGCCAACATGGCAGCCTCTAATAAACCAATTTTCTTTTTCTGAGATGCGGCTAGAGACTTTTGCTTTGAATGAGGGGGATTTGTTGGAGCCCTGACATACACACAATGTCTAAGGTCCCTCTAGAAGAGCCTGTGATAAGCATCAGATATAAACTGGAAGTAACAAATGTTCATTTCTGTACACCATGATTTGCTTAAACAAACTACTCTCTCATACCATTTGCAATCAGTGACAGCTAGGAATCTTGGTCTGTCATGAGTTTAATGAGGGCTTATGAATGTTACTTGCAGTACAGAATATAGGAAGAGGGTTACATAAATTTGGATTCCCATGCATCTTTGTCAGGGATTAAAACTTCCTAAATAATATGCAGAGGGAATATGCAAAGAATGAGCTGTGGGTATCAATAGGTCTTTGATCAAACCAACTGATGCCCTTCAATATAGAATTCTGTTATGAACAGTACCACTTCTGACCTAAAACCTGGAAAGGAGATTCTTTAAAATCCCAGTTGAACCCAATTAAGATTTATAAATGAAAACAAAATATGTTCACTGCAGTCTTTTTATTATTCACCACTGGATAAGGAACCTGGATGAGCTGTAATAAGGGCAAAATTCTTGTTCATTTAAACAACTGGAATTTGGTATTGCTTTTTTGTTGGGAAAGCCATAGAAATTTGTTTATTTAGACAAAAAAATTGGTGTAGTATAACGTGTTAAGTCACATGCACTTTCATTTACTAACACTATGAACTAGTGAAAAATACCTGTTTATATTGCAATTATAAACATTCATAGTCCATGAGAGCAACAACATCGTGTAGATATATACACGATAGCTCAAGCACTAGAAAGAAATATTCAATATAATTCTATTACATGCTTCAGCTGATGGGAATACATTTGTCAGCAGAATGCAGAAGAATCTGTTTTCTCCTATCCAAACACTCTTTTATGTACCCACAAAAATCTACTCTGGATGGGTGGGGGAAGACCACTCCTCCCAAGTAGATTTGTGATCCTGAATGCTTAAAGCCTTGGCTTGTATTTTTTTTTTAAATGGCAGTGTATTGCATGCAGACTGATGTTCCCTGTGTGTAGATGTGCAACATTGAGTAATGGAGTTCAGTGTTTTCCTCAACTCCTCTCCAAGATAGCTGTAAGAACTCTGTTAGGTTTTTACAATAATAACTTTAGAGCAAAAACCTTTGGGAACAAAAACAAACCTCAATGAAGTTGATTACAATAGCCTCTGAGTACTGCACACTTGATGGAACACTCAAGGATTAGTACATGGAGCTAAATAAGGCAAGAGAGGCATAAAACTCACTCCAGAATCTAATATTATTTAACTGTACCAACATGTTCTGCAATGATTCTCTGAGCATTTCTTTGAATCCCTCCCAATTTTTTAATCCATGTTGGAAGCTTAATTCTCCCAAAGTTTGCTTATTTCCCTCAATGATTGATTGGGTTGGAATTATCTAGGGGATTTTTACCCAGCCTCTCTGCCAAAGCTTTTGAACATTGAGAAGTTTTACCCTTACTTTAAGTGATGGAATTAAAGTCAATAATTAAACCTATCTATGACAAGAAATCAGAATAGGTTGCTATCATGATCTCACATACACAATCCTGGATTAATATCCTACCCGTTTGAACTCTCATGAAATCACTTTCTCAAACCGAAAACATGCCAAAATCAAATTTAGGATACACATGAGATCACAGTTAGTCCCCAACTTACGACAGCCCAAAATTTATGTTGCTAAGTGAGAAATGTGTTAAGTGAGTTTTAACCCATTTTATGACTTTTCTTGTCAAATTTGTTAAGTGAATCACTACAGTTGTAAAATTAGAAACACCATTGTTAAGTGGCTCTGGTTTCCCCATTTACTTTGCTTGACAGAAGGTCGCAAAAGATGGTCGCATGGTCCTGGGACACTGCAGCCGTCATAAATATGAACCAATTGCCAAGCATCCAAATGTAAGTCACATGACTGTGCTGCAACAGTCATAAGTGTGAAAAATGATCATAAGCCACTTTTTTCAGTGCTGTTGTAACTTTGAACAGTCACTAAATAAACTGTTGTAAGTTGAGGACTACCTGTATTTTTAAGGATACCCTGCTGCTGTTACGAATGCTTTGTTACCTTCAGACAGGTGCACCAGTCATTGTTGGTACTTTATGGTTACGTTATATATAGCATGCTACAGCAGAGGCTGTATTAGGCTATGTCCCACTCTGTAAGAAGAGGGTTAATATATGTCAATCCCCTATGCATGCATCATTTTCTGGATCACAACAGATCAGATGTACACTCAGCTTGCTATAGATGGAATCCATCTGCAAGCTCCAGATCCACATTTCTGTGTCCATATTAGGACAAAGTCTTTCTTAGGTCACCATCAAGTTCACGAAAATATACAAGCTATCTCTCAGCTTCTGCGAATGCCTTTTGCAAACCTGGGGTATCTAGTTTGCAGAGCTATTTATATGCAAAAATTTTCACACAGCACTCGTTGTAAGGCAGGCAATTCCATGCCAGATATTTGTTCAGAATTTAAGGTTAGAATTCAATTTCTTTGAACCTGTGAATTATAAGTGCAATGAAAGCAACACTGGAGCAAAGTGGGAAAGGAAACAGTCAAAGCCTCCATTGCACAGCTTGATGCACAAAATAAAGACTAAATAGTTATCTATGGTTTTCTCAACAACTGGAAGAGCTTAAGTTAGGAAGTTTGGGGTTAACATCAGTGGTGGTATTCTACCAGTTCAGCCTGGTTCTGCAGAGCCGGTAGCAGCGATGAGCAGTGCAGACCGAACCGCTTCTCTCCACCGCTCCGCTGTTGGGCCCTCCTGCCCACTCAAGCTTCCATACTCACCTTTATCCTCTGAATTTGAAGCGCAACTGCTTTGCGCAGCACAGAAGAGTACCGCACAGCAGCTGCTGAAGCAACTGGGATCGTGCAGGCTTGCAGGAGGTGAGTTGGAACACCTCTGCGCCTGCACAAAGTGTATGTTTGGCATGCGCATGCACTCAAAGCGTGTGCACATGCGCAAAGTGTGCCCACCAAACCGGTGGTAAAAATATGTGAATCCCACCACTGGTTAACATGTTGCTAGGTCTCAAAAACCTATATTTTAAAAAATAACTACTTGTTTGCAGAAATGTGAGTTCATGACTATTCAGGAACATCAAGGAGAAGCTGATTGCCAAGTTGGGCATATTACTTAATGGCATTACTTGGTTCTACTCAAATATATTTTTATGATGCTGGACACCACATTGTTCACATGTAGCAAACAACCAAAGGCTCCCAAATTACCTTTATTTACTGTTACGGGCTCCTACTGACACAGAGGGAGATGTTTTATTATGATTGCAATTCCCAGATGCTGTGTCAAGAACCACCAATGGCTTTGTGAATCTTTCCATAATGGATGAGGGTACAAGGGTGCAGAGCAATGGGCTACCTACAATATGTGGAGCAAATGTGGTTTGAACAAAATTTATTTGATAAAATATCTTAGAAGTGAATGCTTTATGTCCATCAGGTATCAACCAAACCAGTCATTAAATCTATCACAATGGCCTTTAAACTGGGGGTAAGGTGCATCATAGAGCAACAATTTTTGACCCAAGGTACATCAAATGGGCTAACTCACAGAATGCACCCAAAATCCAGGACCCATGACTCCCAAGGGAATGATATGTGGGAAAGTTGTGGCTGCTACAGCGTGATCTTCATTTTTCAAAGTTCCATGATGATTTTCCAGCCAGTATCACAATCTCTTGCTTCCTCCCCCATCCCACAGCAGCCACTTACCAGCAGGCAGGAAAGCAAGGGAACGGAAAGGAAAGGAAGGGAGATTTCTGATGCTCCCTCCCAGATTCCCACAAGGGAACTCAATAAGGAAGCTGGCAGGAAATATGAAGTCGTACTCACTCCCACTGGTTTGTGTGTGTGTGTGTGTGCGCTTGCCTGCTCTTGGTCATTCTGTTTCTCTTTTTGGATAAGAACATATGACCCAACAGGGCACTGGTTGGTTGTGTAGTATTCCCTAAATCCCTTCCGAAACAAGACAGTATGCCTATATTTCTTGATATACAGTAAAAGAGAATTGACAAGTCTCATGATGAGAGATGATAGGAGAATCCTTGGTATCTCATTAAATATTTATGCATAATAGCTTCAGTTCTACCACTCACAACCCCCTATTTGTGAAGAAGGTTCATTCAAGACAAAACATGTTTAGGGAGGAAGAGTTGATAGTCTCTTTTCACCACTTTTATTCTGCAACTCCTCCATACTGAATTGAGGCTCCAATAAGGCTTTCATGAGAGGGAGCATGAGGAAAAGCCAAGATATAGGCTCAATGCCATCTCCAATCTTCTACTTTTTAGCATGGAAGAAGGTTATTTGAGGGAATAATATACTTGAAGGCCTGGATATTTGGAGATCATAATAAGCTGGTTTAAAAAAGCCCAGTTTATTCCATACGTTGCATGAATAGCTATGCTTGATCATATCCTGTGCAATATATACATATACAGTGTATATCAGGAACTCAAAGTAAGTAAGAATTTATAGGACCACAGTAACATTTTTCTTCCAACCACACAGCTGCACAGTGCCTTGTTGACCTATTAGGCACTAATTACATTTTAAAATTCTCCATTCCATTTCGGGCAGAGAAATTCGGTGGACAACCAGTGCCCTGTTGGGTCATATGTTCTTATCCAATCTCCAAATTTCTCTAAGGAAGAGTGTTCCAATAATTACTAGAAGGCAGAACTCCTGTTAGCACTCAAATAATATAAAAAAAAAACCCATGGTGGTGCAGTGGTTAGAATGTAGTACTGAGGCTAACTCATTGTTCACTGTCAGGAGTTGGATCCTGATGGGCTTAAGGTTGACTCAGCCTTCCATCCTTTCGAGGTTGGTAAAATGAGGACCCAGATTGTTGGGGGAAATAGGCTGACTACATAAACTGCTTAGAGAGGGCTGTAAAGCACTGTGAAGCAGTATATAAGTCGAAGTGCTATTGTTATCACGACTGAAAAAGCCCACAGAAATTTCCCTTTTGATACTTTTCCTTAAGATTTAATTGAAGTGTGGGAAGCCACGGAAATAGCAGTTCATTGGAGAGAAGATCGGATGAACTCATAATGTCCATCCATTCCTATGCTTGTTTTCGAGTTGCCATACATATCTTTAGCTACATTATAACTGGATAAATACAACAATGTGACACTCATATTCTCCTTAACAATTTTACCAAAATCCTCTTCTCCTTTGAGAACAATTTTTCTTTCATCAAATTGAATGAGTTAGGAGGGGAAGAACAGTAAGTTCTTTGCTCAACAGCTATACCCATTAACAGTAGGCTTCCATATTACTCCACCCAAATTCATCTCCAAAAATAATAAGAACTTTCTATGTGTAGCCACTAGTTCTAGAAAAACAAAAGTATCCTTCAGTGATTTTTCAAATGGAAGAGCATCAAATTAATTCATAACTGTCCGTACCTTCAGTCTTCAGTGCAATCAATTCACAGGAAACTTGTCCGCTGTTATACTGAGTTTTTATTTCTTTCTGTATAAAAGACACAAAGAGAAGAATAACTTACTGTATGGAGGAGGAGAGGAGAAAATAATCAAATCATTTTGGTGATGCTGGCGGCATGGGAAATTCTCTGAATCGTTCTAACAGCAAATTATTCAATGGTGGCAGAGTTCATAGTTCTTCAGATTGACCATCAGTTCCTGTTTCATTTAAGTACCCTCCTTATTTACCATCTTGTGAAATCAATTATATCCTCTGTGCTAGTATCACTGCTACCAGAGGTTATAATGTGTGTGTGTTAGAGGCAGAAAGGACTGGTCCACTGGACTGTTGCTAAAGGTTAAGATTTGTCCGCCACGTACAAATACATTATTGGTACACACCTAGCCCATCATTTTGGAAAAATAGCGGCTCCATTTTGCCGCTTTTGAGGCAAAGGTCATGGAATCTAGGCAGAATTTATTCCGTTTATTTATAAAACATTCTATTGTTCATGGTAGAGAACCCATTTCCTGGCAGGAAATGCCAGACTTTCCCCATAAAGAAACAGCATATCCTTGGAATTTCCCTACAGATAGATCACAAGCAAAGTTCACCTGTAGATTTATCATAAGTGAAATAAATTGGGCTTAACTTGCTCAGTCTTTCTTAAAGATGAAGGCATCTATCGTCTGTTTCTTATTACCAAACCTAAAGACTTCTAACTCACTGGTAAACAGCTTGTCAAAGATTCCACATTCAGTATCTGGCATCTCCTGGTAAGGCTTGGGAAGACATCCTGCCAATCAGTTTTGACTATATACTTAGGCTGAAAATAGCTGAGATGTAGCATGGTCTGAATCAGGACTGTAAGAAATTGTCTACTGCTATGTACATCTTTGCCATGAGTTAAATTAATGCTCCCTTTAATTGTGACAGACTGAAGCATCACACAGCATCTCATAGCTGTGACATGGCATTGGATATCCTTAGTTTTCACTCATCAGCTATCATTTCAACCATGCGTTTTATGTTATACTATCAAGGTAAATCTATATTGTTTCTCCAAGATGCAAATATAGTGTTTAAAATGTTTTTTAAAAACCAGACTATTCACACATGAAACAAAAAGTAGTGTCTGCATCAGGTAGAAGCAGATTACAACAATAGATCTCATTCTGCCTTTAACTGTATCTGTTCACTTTGTACATATATCTGAGTTGCTTTTCTCCATATTGCCTATGCTTCATCATGTCTCAGATGCTATGAAAAACCCACAACTTTATTAACGTATTGTCAGAGGCCAAGAGAACGGCACACAGAAGGAGATTTGTGATAATACTAGACTACTGCAATGCGCTCTACATGGAGCTGCCTCTGAAGACCATTCAGAAGCTTCAACTAGTGCAGAATGGAGCAAGTAGTGGTCTCAGTGGGACCCCATCTATTTATCTATTTATTAGATTTTGAATCCCATTTTTATAAGTAACTCAAGGTGGAAAACATATGTCATCTTCTTTCCTCATCCTGTTTTCCTACAACATCAATCCTGTGAGGTGAGTTGGGCTGAGAGAAGGTGACTGACCTTAAATCATCCAGTCAGCTTTCAGGCCTAAGGCTCAAGAGGCATGTTTCACCTTGAGGACCTTTCTTGTTTTGGATATTGGGATGACCTGATCTGATTCTGGACCTGGGCCTGGAGCCCCTGAGTGGGTAAAGGATGCTGTGTTGTGGCTGTGCTAGTGACTGTTGATTGTGATATCTTCCTCAGCTGCTGTTTTTTTTTTAATTTTTGTATTTATGGTTGGAATTGTTAAGATATTTGAAGATTGCTTGCTGCCCAGAGTCATTTAATGAGATGGGAGGCCATATAAATTGAAGAAATGAAGAAATAAACATTGCAATAGTACTGTACAAAAATAGAAAAAAATAGGAAGGAAGGAAGGAAGGAAGGAAGGAAGGAAGGAAGGAAGGAAGG